TCTCTTCTTGACAAGTATCCGAAAGTGCTTGCGGAGCCGCGTAGCGTGCCACAGTGCACTGTCAGGCACAAGATCAAGATCCTACCGGATTGTCAACCTCTCAAGGAAGTTATGCACCACATAAGGCTGGCTGAACGAGAAGAACTGCAAAGACAGATCAAGGAACTGCTAGCAAGCCTGTCGATTTACTCTGACAGAGGGTAGATCAGACCTAGTGAGTTCGAATATGGAGCTCCAGTCTTGCACGCATTGAGTATCAAGGACTGAACTGAATCACGAGAAAGAACGTCCATCCTCTACGTTGGTTTGGTAACCTCCTTGATGCGGCCGTAGGTTATCAAGTGTTCTCCAAGATTGAACTCAAATCTGGTTTACCACCAAATTGAAGTCAATCCTACTGATTAACCCAAGACTGCACTCAAGACGCGCAATGAGCTCTATGAGTTTATTATCATGGTCTTCAGCCTCACAAATGCAGGTGAAATTCCATAATCTGATGGACCGGGTTCCCAAGAACCAACTCAACAAGTTTGTCGTTGTGTACCTTGATGACATACTGATTTTCAGTAAATCGATCGAGGAAAACGAACACACTTACAAGAAATCTTGGAAATCCTGCAAGAGGAGAAGCTCCACCTGAGCTTAGAGAAATCTTCGTTTGTAAGGGAGAACGTTGTTTATCTTGGGCACAAACTATCGTCCTTCTACTATGGACTCTAGCCTATTCTCAAGGTTATAGGAGATGAGCATTGCAGACCTCCCCACGTCGTGGGGTATGTCCCTCTGCATCTTTGTACGTACCCAGTGTTGGATGTGTCTATAGACTCTAAAGTTCTAAACTCTATCTCTCAACAGATGATTTCCCAGCAGACAGTCTATCATTCCACACCCATCAGTGGTGGCCTTGACTTTGATCACATCTGTGAACACGGATAAAGGACGAAAGCGTGAATACTTGGTGCACTTTCTTTACCATGCACTCGACGATCTTCAATGGATCTCTCAATCCAACTTGCAGACAACTGCACCTCATATAGTCAATGCAGCTGTCCGACGCATGATTATAACGCACACGAGCGTATGGCTTGCGCTTTTCGAGTTTTGTGTGCCTACGATGTGTCCTGTGCAGATCCCTAGGTTCTTTCTAGCTCAAAGTGACCTCACTTCTGGGTTGGTGGGAGTGCAATGACCCGCACAGAATCAGTCCGAGATTTATGCAGCTTTTTTAGTATTGTTGCTTGGTGGTTTGATCTGTTCAGATTTTCGTCTTTTCAGTGAGACTTTTTAATTTGTTTGCAGGTGTCTAATTCCGTATGTAATGATTGCTATGCCATGTACTATTTTCTGTGTTCCGGGCGAGGGTAGGTCGGAAATAGGAAAACCGCATGGGTAGGACTGAAATTGGACAGTGCACCATGACCTGCATGGAGGCCTCCCGGCCCTAAAAAAAATTGAACCCCCCCCCAATTAGAAATGCGCAAATATCAACCGGGGGGGAACCGGCGCGGTCCACCGGCCGGTCCAACCGGCCCAGTTCCGGTGGGCGGAGGGGGCCCCGGTGGGACCGGGTATTCAGCCTTGCCACAACGCCCGTTCTCCTGCCGGACCCGTGAATTTGACGAAAGAAAGCGCCACTGTAGGGATAACTTCCCATCTTTCTGTAGCCCACTCTCCTACTGTCCATGGCAGGCGCTTGTAGCATCTGCTGCCATTCTGGGGGAATTGATTGAAGGAGTGTTGTGAGATTATCTAGCAGATTACGGCAACCCTTGAGCATATCCCGGAGTTCTGGACACGTTTTCCATCGGTTGTGCTGGCTGTTCCAAACGTGACTGATTCTCCAGACACCCTTCTCAACCCACTTAATCCACCTTGCATCCTGGGTCGTTAGCATCCAAGGTTTATCGGCTTGGTTTTTAATCCATTGGTTGCAAGAAAGCGGTTGCCTTAACACTTCTTCCCTGTTTATTGGTCTTTGCGTCTTAGCTGGAAAAATCTCCCTCCAGGATTTGATGAGGTACATTCAGTAATCCTCCTGCGAGGCTTATTGCGGTTGATGGTGATGCTGATGTGTTGCTCCTCTGCGGGCGGACCATGATTTGGACATCAGCCAAAAATATCCTCTCATATTAGCCAGGGAAGAGGCCTTTGGGACTTGTCTGATTCTGTAGAGTGCCAAGGAATTCCACGTTAGTGTGTGGTTAGTGAGCAACTTCACTATCCACTTGGTTTCCAAAGCTTTGGTTTGTGTGACTGGGTCCAGAATTCCTAGAACTCCTTGTCCCTTTGGTTGTGTGAGGTACTCCCAGGCAACCTTGGGAATAAAGCTCTGGGTAAAAGGATTACCGGTCCACAGATAAGTTGTAGAACGTGTTTTAAGGGCCTTTGACATTCTGAACTCCGGTGTCCAAATGGAAGCTGCATTGAGTACCAGTGCTCTTCCAAATACTGAGGTGTAGATACTGGTCCAACTGTCCAATTTGCGGATCATGCGTGTTAACATCTCCGGAGCCATCGCTTGATCAGGTCCCGCATTTGTGAGGTTGATGCCTAGGTACCTCAGTGACGTCTTGGGATCCTATCATGTAAACCCTTCGGGTGTGATGTCCTTAGATGGTTGCTCTGTTTCTGCCAGCCACCAACCGATGGTTTCCTGTCAATTGACATTCATTTCAGCTGCCAGTTGGAAAGCTTGCATAGTATGTGTAAGTGCTTGAAATGAAGCTCTAGAGACTCCGATCAAAATTGTCAGATCATCGGCAAAAAGGAGAGTGGTTGGTAATCATACTTGATGAGAAGGATAAGTCGGTTCCACAACTAGTCTCTCTATTGTCGGGTCCTTTCTCAAAAAGGACGCTATCGCCTCCATGGTGAAAAGAAAGAGGGGGGCTGCTAGTGAATCTCCTTGACGCACTGAATGGCTCATTTTATATGCCGGAGAAAGGAAGCCATTGAGTTGTACTTGACCGTATGCATCATTGTAAAGCACTCTCACCCATTTTCGAAAGTTCGGTCCCACTCCCATCTTCTCCATACATTGCTGCTGAAATTTCCAGTTAACTTGGTCATATGCCTTTTCGAAGTCAAAGAAGAGTATAGCTGTGTTGAGTTTCTTGTCCTTGATGTAGCGTGCCGCCTCTGTTAGTGTCATAACATTGTCGAGGATGTATCTCCCTGGGATAACACATGTTTGATCAATATGGAAGCAGCTCTGGGTGATATTCCTAAGCCGATTGGCGAGCAGTTTTGCCAGTATCTTGTATACTACCGCGAGTAGAGTTATTGGACGATAATTCCTGATATCTGTAGGGTCCCCCTTTTTGTATAACAGTGTAACAACTTCTGTGCTTACATACTTGCCTAATCCTTCTTCTTGGTAGGCTGTGTTCAAGAAATTAGTGTATTCTTTCTGAAAAATTGGCCAAAAATGCCTGCCAAAATTCCTTCGACAGTCTGTCTCTTCCCGGGGTTTTATTCGGTTGCATGGAGATCAGTGCTAATCTGACCTCTTCTGGCGTAATTGGCTTGTCCATCTCTGCTGCTTGTTCATGCAACAGTGTTTTATCCAGATGCCATAGAAATTTTTGTCTCACTTCTTGTACTTGCAATGGAGGATGTTGGTCTTCCTTTGAGGTGTAGAGCTCCTTGTAGAAGTCCGCAGCTATAGTCAGCATTTCTTGAGGGTCCGATGTTGTAGTGTCTCCCTTCTTCAGCTGATTGATGAGTTTTTTGTGTGCATTGATTTTAATCTTCTGAAAAAAGTACTTCGTTATTCTAGTTATTCTTTCTCCTTCCTCCAGTTCCTTGACTCTGGCTTGTAGTCGCAACCCTGCATCCTTCCAGGCCTTCCACTTCGACAGCTGGCGCTTCGCTACAAAAAGTGCGTCTTCGATATGTGTCCGCCCCGGTTGGGAAATTAGATTCTGCTCTGCTATTTGCAGGACTGCCTCTAGTTCCTTCTCCTTTGCCTTTCTCTGTGTTCCGATGATCCTGGATGCTTTTGCTGAAGCGTTGGACAAACATCCCATAAGCTGTGGAAAAGTATTAATCCTTGTTTCGTAGGAGGAGCAAGATTGAATGATGTGATCTTTCATTATTCTAGTATCTAAGAGCGCATTATTGACCTTGATGAAGCCTGGACCTTTTTTGGGGGCTTCGGCTAGAGGTAAATTAATATATATAAATTTGTGATCTAACCCGGCTGCATATGGCAGTTGACTAATGCCTGTTGCTTGGACTGCTCCGTAAAGTTGCTCCGAGATTAAGAAGAAATATATCCTAGACGCCAAGATATGCTGACTTCGATTACGTTTGAGATAAGTGAAAGCTCTAGTTGAGGGTTGTCTTACACGATATGGGGCAATTAGTTGGTGTTCCGTCATGAGGTTGTGTATAGCTGCTGCCTCTTCCCAAACTACTCCCTCCATTGCTGATATTCCCCCAGTCATCCTACATAGGCCTTGTTCTAGTGTCGCATTCCAATCTCTCGCCAAAATCAGGTGAGAAGGAGTGGTACAATACGGGGAGAGAGTCTATGAGCTCGGCTCTCCGTTGCTGAGAGCTGGGACAGTACAACGAAAGCAGGCGGAAGTTCTCTTGTTTGTACTCAAAATCTACTTTGACCCATCTTCCCTCCCTGTCATCGGAACCGCTGTTTTATTAATAAAAAAAAAAAAAACATGAACTGCTGTTTTATTAAAAAAAAAAAAAAAAGGGTGGCAGTCACAACAAACCCACTTACCACTTATTACTGCCCTCCTACTACATGGAAAACACGAGCGCCCAGGTTACACAGAGCCTATTTCTATTTATTGTACCCATGGATAACCTGTTTACAACACAGGCTTACACTGTGTGATACTGCAAGCGATGTTAGTTGTTCAGTGTCTGCAGCCTGATGGAATGCGAAGAACCAGCCTTAATTAGGTGGAAAAAGCACAAATTGAGTTTTTCAGAAATCATGAGCTTCAAGAAGAGAGAAACCATTGCCTGCTGCTTACCTCCATGTTCGTTTTGCTGGACACGATCCTGACACATCGCTATAATCGATGCCTGTCTTCCTGATGTACGGCTTATACAGAGGGGCAGATTTAGTTCCTGGAATGTCTCCAATGTCAAAGAAATCCCAGGTGCGCGTTGAGAATCCCTGCAGTAAAACAGTGGGCCAGAAACATATGTCAAGGAAAGCATCAAGAGCGGCAACGAAACAAGTGCCATGTCCAACAATACTTCCTATAGCTCCCGATGCTCTCTCTCTCTCTCTCTCACACACACACACACACACAAGCTCGTTTTTTTAATAATATTAATAATTAATTAAATTAATAATAATTAATAATTAATAATATTAATAATTAATAATATTAATAATTAATAATAAAAAGAAAAATGATTAAAATTCTAGATTAAAATTTGCAAAGAAAATGAACAGAAGCAAGATGACAATATTCAGATTACACAATCACATTGAAAGCCAGATCGTATCACAGTGTTCAGAAAGTAGCATTGCACCAATATGACACCAATG